AAATAAATAAATAAATCATTCAATAAAACAATGCTTTTGATGTTATTTTTCTTTGTCTTTAAAAACCGCTTGGCATCGATGCTTTTAAAATAACGACAATTGTTACAGGAACAAGAATTCTAGAGGTATGTCAACACAGTTTAGAAGTGAGTTGTATGATCTAATCAAGAAAAAAAACTGAATAACTTCCTTCTTGAATAAATTGAATTCATGTCCAAATCTTAACTCTTTGATAAATAATTTGCCTATCAATTAATGACTTAATTTACATGTTTATTTGACTGAAGAATAGCATGTGTACATAAAATGTTTAAAAAAATGGTTATTTTATCTAATTATTTTCAGGTTCATAAAAAGGCATGGCAGGGAAATATGGAAGGAGCTCGAGAGGCTTCACGAAGATCCAGGCTGTTCTCACTAATCGCCTTGGTGATTGGTATCTCAATACATGTTGTATGTATCATTGTTATAATTATAAGTATAACAAGGAACATCCAGTTTGCTAAAGATGCTGCTAATTTATACACACCAAATGATTCATCTGATGAAGATACACAGAGTTCTTGGAATTAGTGTACTTAGATTTCATGGTGTACCTAAACAGTTGTCCAACTATTACTGCCGCTTAGATTGTACTTAGATTTCACAAAGTACTTTATAATAAACAGTTGTCTAACTACTACTGCCTCTTGACAATACTATTATTTAAAAGTTTCATCATTTTGTCCTTAAAAAGCTTTAGTTTACAATAAACTAATTTCTCAATAATCAATTATATTTATAGATGATATACACATTATTTACGCTTGAATGTTATACTGTTGAGATGGTCATAAATGTACTATACTTGAATAATGATGACTTGTGTTTTTCTTTTTTTTTGTAAAGTTGGTTCTGCATGCGTTTAAACTTCATGCATGGTAGAGTTACAATACTATTTGATGGGGTTGAATATTACGATTTAGTTCTGACTTTTGATGCATAGTGTCTTTTATAATATGCAGGGTCTAGGAGCACATGTACATCATTTTTTCAAAAATCAAATGACTTTGAGAGACATCTTAATTTGAACTCACAAATTATTTTTCACAATTTAAATTGTCAATATATTACCGGTGCTAATAAAGTAGTAATTGCTGAAGCAGAATAATTGCATCTAGATTTGATTTAAAGTTTTTAGATTATTCGTAAAATGACTTCCATGGCTTGAAGTTTGTTAATTTCCTTGGTAACAAGAAAACACTTATTTTAAGATAGAAATGTACTTGTGTATTTTTTGAGAAAATTAGAAAAAGTCTTTCTTATTTATAATGTCTAAACTGAGAGTCAACAATGAATATTTGTTATTTTGAGCACAAGCATTGTTTATTTCATTTTAACCTATTTTTAAAACCCAGATGTTTGAAATAGTAAACAACAATTAAATATGTTTTATTTACCATATGTTATCAGGCAATATATTTAAAATGAAAAATGCCATTAACATTGAAACCAGTTATACGAATTGCCACAATTACCAAACTTACATTTCTTTTGAATATAGGATCACCTCCAAAAAATTTAACGGTACATTTGTGAATATTTTAGATTTTATTTATCACTAGATTTCATTTATCGCTAGATTTCATTCATTACTAGTTTTCATTGTGGAGTTGTCATCTACCGATTTTCAAAGTAAAAGCTTTGTTCCTGAATAAAGTTCAATACAAGGGAAAGCACCAAGTGATCATATTCTCCATCTTCATTTGGTTTGTAAAATATCTTATCTTTCCACATGAATTGATATTCTGTATGCCTATAATTAATTGAACACATTTAATCTATTATACCCACCTACATGTATGAATAAATGCATGATTTGATAAACTGTAAATTAGTTTAGTTTTAGTATGAAGATCTTTCTTTATGTGACGATTTTATGGCATTGGTGGAGGCAAAAATGATATAAATATGATCAATTTAAGATTATGTATATTCCAAAAAATGTGATAATAAATTTGCACTTCAATGATTGACAATATGTGAGTTTTGTTTATTATTTTTATCGTAGAATCAGTTTATTATATTCTTTTATATCCGTTCATTTCATACTGATCTTTACGTGTACACACTGCTGTGAGTGATGATTACGAGTTGAGAACAAAGACGTGCAACAGAAACCTAAAAAAGGTTTATTGTGCCTCAAAGCTAAATCTGCACATTCAGATGTATGGCGTCTGTTTTCTTTACAAAAAAATTAAATTTTTAGAAATAATCATAAAAATGCATATAAATATTTATTATCCAAATTTATATTGCTTTGTATATTGTTGTTAATAATCCATAAGGTGCGAAAATTTGGCACAAATGGTTATTTTGTAGAACATTCCAATATTAAAATATTTTATTAGCTCTGCTGTCTACTTTGTCGAGCAGAGCTTATCATATGAGTGATTGTCAGTCGTCGTTTTTACTTTTTCGACTTCTTCTTGAAAGCTAAAAACCTTATTGCTTTGGTGTATATGTACCTTGGGTAACCCTCTCTTAGATTTGTTCATTTTGTGGTGATATGTTTAATTCTATAATTTTGATGAATATTTTTGTAATTTTTGGTATAAAGTGATATTTTTGACTTCTTGTTAAAAACTTCAAGTCTGATTGCTTTGATATTATGTACCGGTATATATAGGTACTACATGTGAACCTCTCTTAGATTTGTTCATATCATGATATCTTCAGTTCTCTAATTTTGATGAATATTTTTGTCTTGTTAAAATTCGTAAGTCTGATTGCTTTGATGTTATAAATATAGGTACCTCTGGTAGACTGTTCTCTGATTCATTCATTTCATGATGATATCTTCAATTTTATGATTTTGATGAATATTTTTGGAAAAAAGTGATATTTTCGACTTCTTGTTTAAGTCCAATTGCTTCAATACTATAGATGTACCTTCTTAGGTAGACCTCTCTCAGATTTGTTCATATTCTAATGAAATGTTCATTGCTACTTGTTTGATTAACTTTGTTGCATTTTAAACAGCTGCTTCCCATTTCTACTATTTTGTCTCAATTTAGGTAACCAACAGTCCCTCTATCCTGTGATTACATACTGCAGTACTTGGCCTAGCTAAGATAACATGCAAGATTAAACAAACGCTTCTTCATGCAATAGCCCGAAAGCAGTTTTATGGCATCCAGTTTCTCCGCATTTTCTCTTCAGTTCTGCATGATTTTAGCTCCGCTGTTGACAAATTCAAGTGGAGTTAATCATATTACTGATTGTCTGTGTGTCCATGTCAATGTTAACTTTTCACATTTTTGACCTCTATGAGATTTGTTTCATTTTGTGACAATATTTCTAATTTATTTTCAGTGAATTATTTCATTTTTAGTCAAATGGTCAAAATGTTGACAAATCCTGTGCTTTTCCTTTTTCCTGTTGTCATGGTAACTATCCAAAAATTTGCTAAACTCTCTTCAAACAAATTATCCTGACCTTTGACCTACACATTGGCCATAGTGTTATGTATCGCAATATTGACTAAAATATAATGCAACATTCTTTGAAATGTAATACACACATGCTGCTGCTGTTTTGAACATGGGCTATGCAGACAGATGCATTGCATTTACAAGTACCTAAGAGGTTAACAAAGTTCATGATTTAATTATTTATTTATTTCTTGATTTGATATTCATGACACCACATTAAATAAAATAAATAAAAAAGGGCAATTTTATCACTACAAAATAACATTTCTGTCAACAAAAATACTCTCATGAAATCTGGATGCCATGATTTTTCCCACCAACATATTTCAGTGAATTTTCGACCAATTAACTTTGGCTTGATAAATTCTGAAAGAATTATGCAACAAATTTTGCGTTTCTGTATTGCAACAGGTGAAAAATGTTTACTGACTCTCAAAGGATGGTTTACAGTTTATCTCCATCTTGAATACATTTCACTTAATTACAATAACAGTGAATTGAAATTAAATATCTATATTTAAATTGATTTCACATTCACTGAAATTAATTTAAAGAAATGTTGTACTTGTTTGCATAGTACTTTCAACATGAAAACTTGTACCATTGAAATTACTACACAGTTATATCCTTCCATTAAATCACTTATGTTCAGTATTTTCTATTCTTAGCTTTGAAGGCATGTGTTACATATTTTTACTCCTTGGTTTATTAAATACTACACTATGGGCTCCTATTTCAAAGTGTGTTTATGGTGTTGTCTGTGCAAGAGATCACGTACATTGGGTGTAGTGATATAAATTCTTCACCAGGGTTTTGATGACAAAGAGTTCAGCAATGTGAACTATGACACAATTCGATGTTTATGACATTCTAAATCACCTCTCAATTAATGACGACAGATTCGGATAAAGGCAGGCTTGTGACAGTA